GTTGACGACTCTGGTCGTGGCGTTGACGGCTTCTGTCGTGGAGACCGTTTGTGTTGACGGCTCTGGTCGTGGACACTGCTAGTGGTGACGGCTCTGGTCGTGGACACTGCTAGTGCTGACGGCTCTGGTCGTGGACACTGCTAGTGGTGACGGCTCTGGTCGTGGACACTGCTAGTGGTGACGGCTCTGGTCGTGGCGTTGATGGGTCTGGTCGTGGCGTTGATGGGTCTGGTCGTGGAGACCGTTAGTGTTGACGGCTCTGGTCGTGGACACTGCTAGTGTTGACAGCTCTGGTCGTGGACACCGCTAGTGTTGACGGCTCTGGTCGTGGACACTGCTAGTGTTGACGGCTCTGGTCGTGGACACTGCTAGTGTTGACGGCTCTGGTCGTGGACACTGCTAGCGTTGACGGCTCTGGTCGTGGCGTTGACGGCTCTGGTCGTGGCGTTGACGGCTCTGGTCGTGGCGTTGACGGCTCTGGTCGTGGCGTTGACGGCTCTGGTCGTGGCGTTGATGGGTCTGGTCGTGGAGACCGTTAGTGTTGACGGCTCTGGTCGTGGACACTGCTAGTGTTGACAGCTCTGGTCGTGGCGTTGACGGCTCTGGTCGTGGACACCGCTAGTGTTGACGGCTCTGATCGTGGACACTGCTAGTGTTGACGGCTCTGGTCGTGGACACTGCTAGTGTTGACGGCTCTGGTCGTGGACACTGCTAGTGTTGACGGCTCTGGTCGTGGACACTGCTAGTGTTGACGGCTCTGGTCGTGGACACTGCTAGCGTTGACGGCTCTGGTCGTGGCGTTGACGGCTCTGGTCGTGGCGTTGAATGCTCTGGTCGTGGCGTTGACGGCTCTGGTCGTGGCGTTGACGGCTCTGGTCGTGGCGTTGACGGCTCTGGTCGTGGACACTGCTAGTGTTGACGGCTCAGGTCGTGGACACTGCTAGTGTTGACGGCTCTGGTCGTGGCGTTGACGGCTCTGGTCGTGGCGTTGACGGCTCTGGTCGTGGCGTTGACGGCTCTGGTCGTGGACACTGCTAGTGTTGACGGTGTTGATCATTGCGGTGGTGTGGTGAAGTTGCTATTGGTGTTGCAATGTTGCTGATGGTCTGTTATATTGGTGTTTATATTAATAATTCTGGTGTTCATAATGGTGGTGGTGCCGCTGGTGACTTTGTGATAGTGGTGTTAGTAGTAGCATAAAATATAGTGCTCGTGGTGCTGGTAATTATGGTGCTAGGTTGTGGTTATAGTGGCAGCCGTTTGTCATAGTTAAAATAGTGGTAATTATTGTAATAGTGGTGATAATGATGGTGGTAGTTGTTGTAGTGGTGGTGCTAGGTAATTGTTCTGGCTTAGGGAGAATGGGGGGGGGACAAAAAAAAACACTGGTTGAAGGGATGACAGCTCTGAGAATGTATGGAATCCTGGTGAATTAATGACAGTGTAAAATCGTCTCAAGTGGTTGTTATGAAGAAAATTGTCCCCAGAGAGATAGATGGAACTGCTGATATGTGTTTATGGGCTGCTCACCGTAATAGAATTAACCTCGTGAGGGCCTTCAAGGGGTCAGCAATGAAAACTGACACACCGAGGTGCACAAGATGAAGCTGGTAAATAAATAAATGTATGTATATATACACATATATATATATGTGTATGTGTGTGTGTCCACACACACCACCAACAATGTTACCACCACCATTTGGTCTCCCTAACATGCCACAACAAACCTATAACATGCTAAAGCTAAAGGGTACCATCATTGGTTGAGTTTGCAGAGACCCTCTGCCTCGAAGAAGAGGATATGTAGCATCTGGGGGAACCTTAAGAATGTACTCCTCGTACATTCACATTTTCTTATACCACCCCTATTTATTGTATATTGTGGCATTTTAATTAATTTTTTTCATTTTATATATGCAATACACACACACAGGTGTATCGTGCTTCCAGATGTATATACATCTAGAGTTCACTATAGTTCTGGACTAAGTTCAGGACGGAAGTAATGTTGCTAGTTGGTCAGTAAGATATTATGATTGCCCTAAGAACCTTGCAGAGGTTGGTAGGAGTTCATGCAAACAGCAAACTAAGCATATAAAACAGATAGTAAAGTTAATATTAAAATTCTTCGTTCATATAAATAGCCTATCCTAAATGATCCTTAAATGTTTCTTGAGAGGAATAGGTGAAGAGTATAGTGAACAAGTGGGTTAATAGCAATCATTAAATAGTGTCTAAAATATTAAATGAGGAAAAACTCGAAAGAATAGATTCCTAATTGAACAACTTGTAAAACATTGTGGTGATATATTGCTTGTTAATACATTTATGTATTGCACGGGCCCTAAGCCATAGGCTTAAAGGTCAGCAAAAGAATATCTCTGCAAAAACAAAACAAAAAAATACATTTTCGGATGAATGGAATATAAACACGAGTAAAAAAAAAAAAATGGTGTAAAACGAGACAGCATCGCAAGGTATCTTTTTTGTTAAGTTTATCTTCTACCACATACGTGGCCATTCATTTACAATGGTAGCGAGCTTGTTTACATTTTCGTCTGTCCTCCAGGAATAAGGTTAGAGCTCTTTCCCTTTCACCTCGGTTGTATGGGTCTCGAATTATATTTGTTTTAGATTTAAATTGTTAGAGATGTGTTTGTTAGCATATGCAGTGGGTCATTGAGCAGGCAACCACAGGTGACGACTGAATTGCTTTTTACAGCCCGTACCAGTGTACGTAAAGTTTGGTCTGTCGTACATAGCGTTAGAGATTTGTTTTGACATATTTTGCCGTTTGACACATTCGCTGTCGCTAGGCACTAATGGTTATTCTAAAGTGTTATAATGTTTTGATAATGACGACGATGTGGGTAATGATGATGGTAGTTTTTCAGTCGAGTCCAAGGGTATATTTTCCACTGAGCACACGTGTTCTGCTGCTATCTGAACACTGTACTTAATATATCCCATCTTATCATTTTAATGTCCAGAGCGCAGGGAACTGGCGCGTGCTGTACACAATTGGTGACAGCTAGAGTGATGTATATTACCATGTAGCAAGAACACAAGATTCTTTTGGACTATTTCTGGTCTAATTTAAGTCGTGTGTCATAAGCTAGGAAGGGGAGGAGGGGAGGAAGAGGAGGGGGTGGGAGGTAGGGGTGTAGGAGGAGGGGGAGGAGGGGTGGAGGTAGGGGGGGGAGATGGTGAGGCCAGGCAGGAGGGCCAAGCGACCACACCTACCAGTGGACTAAGCTATGTCTCCTACTTGAGATGGACGTAAAGCTGTCTACGTCAATTGTCACTGTGAGAGATCGTTGCCAGCGTCAACGACGTCGTCGCCGCCCCTCCTCCCCACCGTCGCCAGTGGGAAGGGGGGGGGAGAGGGGGGAGCAACCCCTCGCTCGGCTAGCAGGTCAAGACCGAGAGCTGGAGGTCAAGACGACCACTTTAGCGACCACGAAGATAGCGATAGACATCGATAACTGCCTCTTTGCCACGACACGAATGAGATTTTTTTCTTAAAGAGGTACTCTACCCAGTATAGTACTCAGTATACATGATGTACAATAGCGCCCAAAGGCGCCACGACCACTATAGCTCTTACTTCTCACTACAATGATGACTGCAACCTGCAACCTACGACTCTCATCGCCAGAACGATAACTGTAGGCATTAACGACTTGGGTAATCATAGTAACGTACCTCCCAGACCAGCAACCAAACCTTCCACCCTCACAACCACAACTGTCACCCCCACAAACTACAACCACACTCAACAGCAACCATTGTTTAGAGCCGCTGTTAGCTCAACCACCAACGTCAACCACAATAAGAATTAAGCTGCTCATAATCTGCCCCTCCTACACTACCATTACTCGCCCCCCCCTCCCCCCAGTCAGCCCATATAACCCACACCCTTTTCACCCCACATTACCTTCCCCTCCATCACCCCCCTTCCATCACCCCCTTCCATCATCTTCATCCATCACCTCCCTCCATCGCCCCCTTCATCATACCTCCCTCCATCACCCCCCTTCCATCACCCCCCCCTACCATCACCCCCCCCTTCCATCACCCCCCTTCCATCACCCCCCTTCCATCACCCCCCTTCCATCACCCCCCTTCCATCACCCCCCTCCATCACCCCCCCCTTCCATCACCCCCCTTCCATCACCCCCCCCTCCTCGCCTTGCATCCCCCCTCGCCCTACATCTCCCCACCCCCCCTGGCCTTTCATTTCCCCCCCCCCGACTCTATATCCCTCCTCACCCTTCATCCCCCCCCCTCCCCCTAAATCCCCCCTCACCCGTCATCTCTCCCTAACCCTCAGCCCCCCCTTACCCAGCATCCCCCATCACCCTACATCCCTCCCCCTTTACCCTACATCTCCCGTCACACTTTAAAAAAAATCAGATTTCTCTCATTTCAATTATTTCTCATCTTCCAAGTAATGCTTCCTTCTCCAAGCTTGCTTTCTTATGCATTTTCTGTTAACTTTCCTTATTTTTGTATTTATTATTAGTCAGAGTGATCGCCACCACTGTCTCTGCAGTCCGTCATCGTCAGTGTCCACAGTGTCACTAAAATTACGTACTAAATTACGCGAATCTAAAGGAATAGAAAACGGAACATCGCGTCAATTTTTCGAACATTCACATCATTTTTTTTTAAATCATCTTTGCCTTTGGGGAATTTTACTTCGAAATACGATGTGAGAGAACAAGTTGCTTGAAACCGGTTATCTACTGATCCATTGGCGATACTGTGTGCTGGCGGAGTGTGAGAGATGAGCCAGTTAGCAAACTCTCCTCTTGCGTAACATGGCGTATTTTGACGTAAAATAATAATAACCTCAACGTCAGAGTAAGATACTCCAGTAATCATAGCGGTTTGCAAGATTGACGTGATGTTAGTGGATCCTCAGTGAGGTTAGGTTCGGAAAATTTATGAGTACATTTTTGGTGAGGTGGTGGACAGGCCGGGCTGTGTTATCGTCATAAACCTCGTATGCTATCGTTTCTAGCACCATCGGTAAGAGCGATGGTCCCGCCTCTAGCACCATCGGTAAGAACGATGATCTCGCCTCTTGCACCATCGGTAAGAGCGATGGTCCCGCCTCTTGCACCATCGGTAAGAGCGATGATCTCGCCTCTTGCACCATCGGTAAGAGCGATGGTCCCGCCTCTTGCACCATCGGTAAGAGCGATGATCCCGCCTCTTGCACCATCGGTAAGAGCGATGATCCCGCCTCTTGCACCATCGGTAAGAGCGATGATCTCGCCTCTTGCACCATCGGTAAGAGCGATGATCTCGCCTCTTGCACCATCGGTAAGAGCGATGATCTCGCCTCTTGCACCATCGGTAAGAGCGATGATCCCGCCTCTTGCACCATCGGTAAGAGCGATGATCTCGCCTCTTGCCCCATCGGTAAGAGCGATGATCCTGCCTCTTGCACCATCGATCTCGCCTTTTGTGTGATCGGAGTTCGATTCCCAGTTTTCCAAAGAGTTCGGCCTCGTTCCTTCACTCAATTCCCACATCCCAAAACACTTTGGCCTCCTGTCGCTTCCAAGTGATACACAGTCAACAGCGGTAAAAGAAACGCTGTTTTAAAGACTGTCCAGATTTTTTTGTTCAATGAGATGGACGGTTTAGCTAAAAATTCTTGTTAGTGTTAGTTTGCTCTTGTTAACTTAATCTAAAAGTTTTTTCCTGATATGAGCTTCAGTTTAATAAATCAAAAGTATAGTCAGTATCTTCTCTGATACATATACAGCCAAGATATCGAGATCAATTTATTAGTGACCTCTAGGATAATCGTTTCACCAGTTTCAATGTTTGTATCCAGAAGGCGTGGATATCTGACGTCAAAAATAATACAATCAACTATTTAGAGCAAATAATAGTTTTTTTTAATATCAATTGAGTATAATTTTATCTAATATAGATTTAAGAGCGATGCGTCATACCAAATAATTCATTTCTTAAGTTCGATGCGTCAGATTAGTAGCTTTAATGAGTCTACACATTATGCCACCAATGAGTCTAGAAAGCCATCGTCATAAATATTCTTCTTCGTATTATTAATTACAGGGCATTTATGTATATATGCCCTGTAATAAATATATATTTTTGTAGTTTATTATAAATGCCCTGTAATATTAATTACAGGGCATTTTGTAGTTGGTGGGTGGGGGGGGGGGGAAATGAGCACCTTGTTGGTGGGGTAGGTGACCACTTTGCTCTTTATTGAATGGGTAGGCGAACCTTGTGGTTTGTTCCTGTCGTCTATATTTCCACATGAATATAGCTTGCATAGTCTTGTTGAGTGCTTCCTAAAACAAGGCATCTAAAAGGATTTTTTGCTTTCAATAGTATATTCATTCAAAATGTCTGTCTTTTTCATTGTGATTTGCTTTCTGGATGCTCTCTCTCACGCCCGCGGAGTTTCTTGTTCTTGGCTTCATGCTGGTCGGCGTTCAATCCCCGACCGTCCAAGTGGTTGGGCACAATTCTTTTTCCCCTCTCGTCTCATCCCAAATCCTTAAATCCTGACCCACTTCCAAGTGCTATATAGTCGTAATGTCTTAGAGCTTTTCCCTGATAGTTCCCTCCTCTTGCTCTTAGCTTCATGCGATCTTCCACACTCGAGCTGTTTCCCACCGTCAAGAATTAAACTGTCGCACCAAAGTGCCCTTATCCTAACCTACCAGAGGCCCCAAAAACAGAAGACGGGACAGTATGTCAATTTCGGGAGCCGCTACCATTTTCTAGTACGACAAATTTTGGTCTTAGAGTATACGTCAAAATGCGACGTACTATATTAAAAGGACGGTGTGAACTTTCAAGAGTTCATGTTCCTCTTCCTCACTGGCCTCTTATGCTTGTTCCTTCTATCGCTCTCTCTCATCTTCGCGATTTTTCTGGCTCTCTGACTGGCGCTCTCTGACTGGCGCTCTCTGACTGGCGCTCTGACTGGCGCTCTCTGACTGGCGCTTGCTGACAGGCGCGCTCTGACTCGCGCTCACTCCTTTTTTTTGGGGGGAGGGGGGGAATAAAGAGGAAGGAGAGGCATAGGTGAAGGGAAGTATAGAAGTGGGAAATACAGTGAGAGTTATGAAAGCGGGCGGGCTGTCCGCCTTGCTGACACGATGTGTGGGTGTTGGCAGCTAAGCTAAGCTGGCTCCCTCTTGTCAGGGAGCTGAGTGTGTGTGAGAGGTTCTTCACATGTGTTTCACTATATATGGATGTCTATAGATGAATACTGTGTTGCATTCATATACACACACTCCGATGCTTCTCTGCGCTCGCTCCTCTGCGCTCTTCTCTGGTCTTCACACTTCTCCTTAATTAGCTTCACTGCTCTCGGCACTTGTCTTCCACTGAAGGGATTTATGCTAATTGCAGTGATCAAAGGGCAAAACAGCATTGCCACAAGACTGGGAGCCTTCCGCCCGACGGGTTCACTTAATCCGGAGTTCAAACGTGTGCAGCAAAAATACTGTGAACATGTTTGCGCGCGCGTGTGTGTGTGTGTGTGTGTGTGTGTGTGTGTGTGTGTGTGTGTGTGTGTGTGGTGAGGAGCTACACAAAATTCATATCAACAATAAAGGTCGTAAGCCAGCTCTTGTACGGTGCATGAGTAGGGAGAGTGTGGAATGAGTTAGTAGTAAGAATGAGAATAATAAGTAGAATGAGCTAGTAACGTTAACTCCTTTCATAGCGTCGAGAAAAGAAATGATGGTAAACAAAAGGGATCTGAGTCCATTGCAATAGGTTATCGGTAACAAAAACGGGATCCGAAGTCAGGACACGTATAGGTTAATACATATAGATATAAACCTCAAGCAAACGAGAACAAAAAAATATAGATAATATATATAAACTAATAATATCAATATTTTCTTGGGACTGAGTCTATATGCAAACCTCACATGATCACTAGGAGTAACCCAGGAATTGGGAATGCTCCAGCCCATCCTCCTGTTTTGGTAGTTCTTAACGTAACGATGAGGACCATAGTTGACCAGACCAGACCACACCACACACTAGAAGGTGAAGGGACGACGACGTTTCGGTCGGTCCTGGACCATTCTCAAGTCGAAATCGACTTGAGAATGGTCCAGGACGGACCGAAACGTCGTCGAGGACCATAGTGTATATACCAACGTACAATGCAATTAGAAAGAAATTGGTACTATTGTATTTGGACAAACCGGAAAAGATTTTATATTGATTTTGCAAAGACAAACTAGCCTAACATTCCTAGAACTAATGCACACTATCTGAGGTCTAATAAAATACATGTGTGTGTGCTATACTAGACCTAGGAATATTTAAGTTTTCTTTTTAGCTTCATTTTTTTCGGACTCATTAAAATTTGGTTCTATTCCCTTTATTATCTAATTCCTTAATACGTCAATGTTTGTACTATGATGCACATGGTCACAAAAAGTACAAGTGGATGGGTTGGAATAATTACAGTGCCAGCAATAGACATAGGAAGATTTTGCTGTGTTTTGTCATAATGCCTTTTATTCTCTTTTCCGAGACTATTGGTCCCTTCAGTTGTGTGTGTGTGTGTGTATGTATGTATGTATGTATGTATGTATGTATGTATGTATGTATATATATAAATATATATACATTCAGGCTTGTTCGCATATAAATATATATATATATATATATATATATATATATATATATATATATATATATGTCGTACCTAGTAGCCAGAACACACTTCTCGGCCTACTATGCAAGGCCCGATTTGCCTAATAAGCCAAGTTTTTATGAATTAATATATTTTCTCTAATTTTTTTCTCATGAAATGATAAAGCTACCCATTTCATAATGTATGAGGTCAATTTTTTTTTATTGGAGTTAAAATTAACGTAGATATATGACCGAACCTAACCAACCCTACCTAACCTAACCTAACCTATCTTTATAGGTTAGGTTAGGCTAGGTAGGCGAAAAAGTTAAGTTAGGTTAGGTTAGGTAGGTTAGGTAGTCGAAAAACAATTAATTCATGAAAACTTGGCTTATTAGGCAAATTAGGCCTTGCATAGTAGGCTGAGAAGTGAGTTCTGGCTACTAGGTACGACATATATATATATATATACACATATATATATATATATATATATATATATATATATATATATATATATATATATATATATATATATATATATATATATATATATATATATGTCGTACCTAGTAGCCAGAACGCACTTCTCGGCCTACTATGCAAGGCCCGATTTGCCTAATAAGCCAAGTTTTCCTGAATTAATTGTTTTTCGGCAGCCTAACCTACCTAACCTAACCTAACTTTATCGGCTACCTAACGTAACCTAACCTATAAAGATAGGTTAGGTTAGGTTAGGTAGGGTTGGTTAGGTTCGGTCATATATCTACGTCAATTTTAACTGCAATAAAATAAATTGACCTCATACATAATGAAATGGGTAGCTTTATCATTTCATAAGAAAAAAATTAGAGAAAATATATTAATTCGGGAAAACTTGGCTTATTAGGCAAATCGGGCCTTGCATAGTAGGCTGAGAAGTGCGTTCTGGCTACTAGGTACGACATATATATATATATATATATATATATATATATATATATATATATATATATAATATATAATATATAATATATAATATATAATATATATATATAATATACCTATCACACACACATTCGCTAGGAAGGGTGCACGGGATAGTCTCTCCCAGCACCCCCACATTCCACCCCTCATCTTTTCCCTTCTCTTACAAGGAGCCATAAGTGGCCTTGAGTAGTATGCATGACCACACCCAGTTCTAACTGCTGTGGGTCCCCGCACCACCCGAGCCACTGTGACCTTGTAACTTCACACACTCGCACACAATTGTCACTCGACTGTTTGTTTTACTTTAAAGCCAATCTGTTCACGAGCGCCCCGCTGACAAGTGGTGTGTTTCTCAGTTATATGTGAGAGGATATTTATGCAGGCGCACGAGCTGAAAATAGACAGATAAACACACGCAGGCACGCGCGCACGCAGGCACACAGGCACGCGCGCGTACACACACACACACACACACACACACACACACACACACACACACACACACACACACACACACACACACACAATCACTTTTTAGGAAGTGATGTGGTGGAGGCTGACTCCATACACAGTTTCTAGTGTATTTATGATAGAGCCCAATAAGCTCAGGAACCTGTACACCAGTTGACTGACAGTTGAGAGGCGGGACCAAAAAGCCCGAAATCAACCCCCGCAAGCACAATTAGGTGAGTACACATATTTAGGGGGGGGGGCCTCGCGGCTGAGTGGACAGCCCTCGGGAGGGTCGCAGTCCTAAGGGCCCGGGTTCGATTCTTGACCGAGGCAGAAACAGATGGGCAGAGTTTCTTTCACCGTGCTGAGCCTGTTCACTTAGCAGTAAATAGGTACCTAGGAGTTACAGCTCCTACGGGTTGCTTCCTGGGTGTGTGGGTGTGTGTGTGTGTGTGTGAGAGAGAG